TGTGATTTACATATGTGCTTGACATCAAGTGATGGGAGCTGCAGCTTTTGGCAAGTGGACACTTGATTTTGAGGGAGTTCCAGGAGAAAATCGCTCTAGCGGTGGCTGCTTGCTGCAATCAAACCATGCCCCCAGCGACCACGCGCGACAAAATATCTCCGAGCCACTGTGCAATCATTGCCAAGATTGAATTTCGACATATATAACTCAGCGAATTTTGCTGATCAATGATTCAGATGATTCTGCCAAGCAGACCTGCCACGCAAGCGTCTTCTTTGAAACATGACCCGTGCGACCGCAACATTTGCGTAGACGGAGGATTCACCCAAATTGAGTAGGCTTTTCCTGTCTCGGCATCAATTGGCGAAACGTCCCGTCCAGTCGCGCAGTGGGCTCTGCAACAGCGTGGCGTCTCTGTAAGTGGGGCATTGAAGGCAAAGCTGCCAAATAGACAGATTGCACGCTAACTGGAAAGCTGCTTGCCAGCTGTCAGCCCCAAAGCTTGCACGCCACCAAAGCTAGACTTTTCTTCTCTCCAAAAGTTAGCATCGTACTTTAGCTTGATCTGCCCTTACCAGGTCAGGACTGCCCAATTGCCTTGGGTGTGTGGAGTAGACGCACCCCGCCGCACCCCTCCTTTCTGGGGGTATCCCCCCTTCCCAAGCATGCTGAGGGACAACGCTGCCTGACAGGGCTCAAATCCCTCTTCCCAAGTAGCACGGGGAACTTTCCGTTTGCGTCTCCACTGAAACACCCTGGGATATTGGCCCCAGCCTGGCTTGGGGTCACTTGCGGATTCTCCACCAGGGGTGAAAAGGTGTCAGCTTGCCAGCAGACCCAGAACTGTTTGGAGCACCGAATGCCAGGCCAGCCGATTTCCTGATTCCACGATTGTAAAGTGCCCAGCCAGGCTGCGAAGAATGCCCTTGCAACACGTCACATATTGATTTGCGTGTTCAATCTGCTTTCTGAGGCGCCAGCCGATGAAAGGAACTCTATGTCGTCAATTTGTTCCATGTCTTCGGAGCTGTTCTTCGTTGCACCGCACCCAGCGGGTATCATCGAATGAAGACCAGGCTCACAATGCAGAGAATGGTGCTGGTGCGGCCTGCACTCCACAGAAATGCTTTGCGGGGTGCCTTGAATTGCAGGCCCTAAGCAAAGCATAATGATAGCCGTGCCCGTCACGCTGGCTTGCACAGACTCTGATGGTCGTTGACGGCTCTGATGTTCAATCATGTTGAATGCCAGACATGGGCAGTTTTTCATGGCCTTGTTGAATTCAACCAGTGCCATTTACTTTCTCCGAATCTTTCACGCGGCCCTGAAATCTGTGGCAATGTCCTGCTCACGGGCGGCAATGGGCAGATGCGCTCCAGTGAGTGGCAATGCAGCTGTCCGCCTGTGAAGCCATAGAAAGAAATTGCACATAATTAAATAATTGCACCATGTTTTTCCAAATGTGCTCGTCACAATTCAACTCAAAGACTTTCAAAAGCATCTAGAGTGGCTAATCAAAAACGCTGGTGGTTGATTGAAAAATGCGCGACAATTTTGGAAGATAAACTACATAAATATCACAGAGGCAATTCGTCGAAACTTAGAGCGCGCTCAAACTGGATGCCATCCCAGACTCAGCTTACTCTTTGCATTCCAAATCAACATCACTAACATCACCCATTCAAATTGTCCAGAAGAAAGCGCCCGTCTCCGTGAAGTCTTGGCTTTGCCGTCCCAGGTGCGGCGGTAAATGCTCCTGGTAGGTTCCTGCATAGTTCGTAGTTTTGATTCTCACAAATGACCAGAGTGTTTCAAGTGTTCCAAGCCTGCAGTTGATTTCCGCATTGTTGGTGAAGCCATAACCTAAGCTGTTTGCTGTTGTGGGCTGCTTCTCAAGACCCGACACCGAAAAAGATCGAACAAGTTTTCAGTCCACCTGCGGCCTGCAGCTAAACTCAGCATGTCTTGAGCGGGACAGAGTGAAGGAAAAAACAGAAAGTGCTAGAAAAAGGGTCCTACAGTCCTACCCACGCAACGCCACATTCAGTTTCGGATAGTTTGGGCCACTGGTCTAATTCCAACAAAGCTGTCGTTCGTGGCACGTCGCAGAGGGCTTGTGGGTTTGAGCCTCCGGCCATAGCGAAGTGGCCCTCCGTCATGCGCTCGGCAATACGAAGGCAAGGTGGCCTTCATGTCGCGGGCTTGGGGCTGCCCTGGCTGCAGGTTTCCGACCCATGGCTGAGATTCTGCATAGACATGATGCGATGATTGTGCCACAAAGAACACAAGCTCTAGTCATGCTAGTAATTTAGCGCAGTGTTGTCTGCGATCTTTCAGCACCAGGCGGAGCCCAAAGTTTGTTTTGCCAGTGTGTGAATTGTCGCCCAAATGCAGAGCACTGTCAGAGCACCCATTTTTCACGCAACAGCCTTGCCTTGATGTTCAGTGGCCTCCAACATTGAGAGGGCGCACGGGGACACGCAAGGGCAACGAATTTAATAAAGCGAACGCCTGGCTTTTTTCTTGAGAAAAAGCATTGGGTCTGAGCTTCAAGCTTCCGAGGATCCTTCTGCCATTGAGGCACGGAGGCCTCTTTTTGACCACTTCCCCCAAAACATGTTTTGCCAGCTTTCGGCGTGACAAAGAGACCAACATTAGTGTCATTAGTGCTTTTGGATGAGGTTGGCAGCAAGAAGGCATGGCAAGAGTCATCAGTGTGCTGTTGCTCTCCAGGGAAAGGCGGAAAAAGAATCAATGTCAGCTGAGTGTTGAGGTGCTACCTGGGCATGATGGGTTGCTTTAAGCTGCCCTTGGCAACGTTAAGCTGGCAAGCAGTACTTCTTGTTCCTCCACAGAGCCTTTTGCATTTGCACACTTCCAGTGTCAAACCTGTGGACAAGGTGCGGGCGTATGTGTCAGTTGGTGTTGGGTCGCGGCTCATGTTGCGGCTCGGGCGTTGCCTCCAAATGCCTGAAGTCTTCTCAGCGCTTTTCTCAGGTAGAGCAAGCTGCATGTTCAGGTTAGCCAGAATAACTGATAGTTGAGCTCCTGGGTGGGCATAGTTTTCTGACACTGGCCAGAGAAACACAAGTTAACAACATTAGTGTCATTAGTACTGTGCGGTTTGAAGTGCCAATCCCAAGAGCGCCAAACGGCGCACAATCTTTGCCTTTGCAAGCTCTTCAATGCTTCATACTGGGAACCAGCTCTGCCGTATCTGCCCCAACAGGACGCATTCGGATATTACGGATATCAAATGAGAAGCGACATCAAAGTGGCGTTGCATCACTGGTTGTGGTGTCAAACCCATGTTAGTTGTCTTAAACCATCCGCAGTTTACTCATTGTTCCCCTTACAAAGCAAAAATCGGTTTGATTATATATGGGGCACTACTAATTACCATAGCACAGGGAGAAACCGTGCTGATTTCGGCCTTGCAATGACTCCCAGGAATTTGCCTCCCAGGTGATGTTTATGGTAAACACATTTTCCCACGGAGATGCAACCAAAGCAAGGGAATTCTCAGGGCCAGTCCAGACCGTCCCCTTCGGTCTGAGGGATGCTCTGACTGCAGAACATATGTACCATTTGACAGCATTTTGTTCTGCAGTCCATATGTTACCAGAGATGTCGCCCAGCTTTCACAAACAGCAGTGCTGGGATTGGCATCCTGCAGACCAAGGGTCAAGCTTTGGCTTTTGCAAGACCGGGCTTTGAACTTTGCCAGCGTTGCTAGAGTGCATATGCTTTGGAGTTCACGGGTACCGGAGACGAGAGTATGTGATTCACGAATTTCGCAGTCTGTGAAGAACGCAGTGCCAGACTTTGATCTGGCAGTCTTTGTGTCACTTGGCGGTGAATGTCCTTAGAGCCTGTTGAGCAATCCCTGTGAAGTTGAAAGCAAATGCAGCAGAGGCTGGATATTCATATTGCCCTTCTGCAGAGATTTCGCACAGCATGCGCAAGCAGCGGCACTGGGATTGACATCCTACAGACCAAGGGTGACGTTTTTTTTTCCCGCAAGCCGGGCTTTGAACTTTGACGCTGCAGTCCATGGTTACCAGAGCAGAAAGTTCAGGATCGTTCAGTTTGACAGCCTGCAAAGAACACAATGCCCCTTTGACGAAAAATCCTTCAGGGCCAAGCTGAAGAGACTTTGATGTCGCAGGCTTTTGGTCACTTGGCGGTGAATGTCCCTAGAGCCCGCTCGGAGCAATGCATGTGTGTTTGGAAGAGAATAAAACCCAGGCTGGATATTCATGCTGCCCTTTTGTGACAGAAGCAAAGTCGACTCCATCTTTGGCCGGGTTGGCCAGAAGAACATGTTACGGACTGCAGGGGTATTATATTTGTTCAAAGATTGAAGAGTGCAAGGGCCAGCAAAGATTGAAGCTGCGCATGCGCAAGGTTCAGTGCCGGACCCCGCTAGAATAGATTCTTCTTTGCATTACTCTGTTTCAAGCTGAGCTTTTTCATTGAGCGTCTAGCCTAGACTAAAGCCGTTGGTGCTGGCAGCGAGCCTTGCCAAAGCCGTCCTTCTCCACAGTCGTCCTAGCTGTCCCGACGGTCGGCAACCCATGACCCAACCTGCTCTAAGGACCTAAACCTGAAATCGTTTGTGCTGGCAGCGCGGATTGAAAAAGCCGCCCCTTGCCTCAGTCCTCCTTGTCCTTGCAGCCAGTATTCCATGGCGCAACGTGCGAGTGGGTCCATTTCCATGATCTTTGACTTGGCCGGTATCTGCAAAGCTTTGATGCCGAGAAAACGGGGCGTGCGCAAACCGCGCGGCTTCCGGGTATTGCTTGCGTGACCCAGTGTGCAAGCAGCAGTTGCTTTGCAGTCATCTTCTGTTTTGACGTGTTCTATGAAAACTCGTTACATTCCGCATTTTGATCACATTTTAGTCAGTGCTTTCTGCAAACTATTAGGTTTTTTTTTTGACAGAGCTGGCGGCATGGTTTTGGCACTGGGTCTCGCTTGGATTCTCGCAGTTTGGCTCATGTGAATGTGGAGCCCTGGACGCTTCGCCCAGGATCGGGGACAGTGGGAGAAGGCGGGCTGTTAATCTGCCGAAATCCAAGCACCCCTAAATCATTTTCAGATACCAATAACGCACTGATTAATCATAATTAATCACCGTTATAAACACGTTTTTTTCCGAATGCGTAGCAAGGGTTCATATGTGGCGTTTCTTCGCTGCGCGTGGCAGGCGTGGCACTTCGTGACATTCACACGTGTTTTGTAACGTGTCGAAAGTCGTTTTGTGTGGCAGGCGAATACTTTTGCGACGTTTTCAGAAGATGCGTTGCAGTATTCTTAGCAGGCGCAGCACTTTAGACGTGTCCATCGTCATTTTGCGTGGCAGGCACAGCACTCAGACGTGTCGTGTTGCATGTTTTTTGCAAATCGCACTGGCAGGGCTGCGTCAAGTGGCGACAAGGTGCAGATTCCGTGGCAGGCGTGGCGTTTTGTGAGATGTGATGAAAATTGACGGAAGCCTCGCACGAAACATCGTTTTTGAGGTAGCAAATTTAGATGTTCATAAGAAAACTCGTAGGAAAACGTCGATTTTGAAGCTACAAAGTGTCAAAATTAGCGGAAGTCTCGCACGAAATGCTCGTTTTGCTGCGACTGTGGCAGAGGGCTGCTGGCTTGGTAGGGTTTCTATTCTAAAGAGAAAATCAACCCTCCTTGGTCCTGGAATTTCGTTTTAGTCCCTATAGAATCGAACCAGCAGGGATCTCCACACTTTACACTCCACAATTTGCACTCCACACTCTACACTCCACACTCTACACACAACACTCCCCACTTTACACTTTACACTCCGCACTTTGCAGTCTACACTCCACACCCCACACTTTACACTCTACACTTTGCACTCTGCACTTTACACTTTCCAGTCCACACTCCACACTTCACACTCCACACACGCTGTACACTCCACACTTTACACTCTACACTTTGCACTGTGCACTTTACACTTTCCAGTCCACACTCCACACTCCACACTTCACACGCCACACGCCACACTTTACACTGTACACTCCACACTTTACACTTTACACTACACTTTACACTTTACACTTTACACTTTACACTACACTTTACACTCTACACTCCACACTTTACACTTTACACTTTACGCTCCTCACTCCACACTCTACACTTTACACTCCACACTCCACACTTTACACTCCACACTTTACACTCTACACTTTACTCTCTACATTGTACACTCTACACTTTACACTCCACACTCTACTCTCCACACTCTACACTCCACACTCCACACTCCACACTGTACAATTTACACTTTTCACTCCACACTCTACACTTTACCCACTGCACACTCCACACTCCACACTCCACCACTCTACACTTTACACACTCCACACTTTACACTCCACACTTTACACTCCACACTCCTTACTTTATACTCCACCCTCCACACTCCACACTCTACACTTTGCACTCCACACTCCACACTCCACACTCGACACTACACTCCACACTCCACACTCTACACTTTACACTCTACACTTTACACTCTACACTCCACACTTTACACTCCACACTCCTCACTCCGCGCTTTACACTCCACACTTTACACCTCCACACTCTACATATTACACTCTACACTTTACACTACACTTTACACTCTACACTCCTCACTCGACACTTTACACTTTACACTGTAGACTCCTCACTCCACAACTTACACTCCCCACTCCTCACTCCACACTCTACACTCCACACTTTACACTGTACACTTTACACACCACACTCAACACTCCACACTCCACACTCTACGCTACACATTCCACACTCTACACTTTACACTCCACACTTTACACTCAGCACTTTACATTCCACACTTTGCGCTCTACACTTTAGACTCTACACTTTACACTCCACACTCTACACTGCACACTCCACACTCTACACTCTACACTCCACACTTCACACTCCAAACTCCAGACCCTACACTTTACTTTCGCAAAGTGTTCTACGTGACTGCATTCGGGTTCGTGGGCTGCATTTTGTTTTTGACAATGGCCGGGTGAACACGCCATTTTCAGACACCCATATTAGTGCAGTTGGCGTTTGGAGTTTTTAGGTTTCTTCACGCCCTCCACCTTTTGCTTTTCGGGAAGATGAACCAGTAGAGATCAACACAACATCAACAATTACTTGCAAAAAAGGCACGCACGAGAGATCCATCAAGTGCGAACGTGCTTAGTGAATGCAAATGCGGAACCTGTGCGATTCGAACTTGGAACATGTTCGCAATCGCTGGTTGCCTTGCAGAACCATGGTTTCCTCAATGATCCCCAAATAAAGGCTGCAAGGGCTTCAATATCTTCACAAAATATTATGAAACATCATCCACGGCAGACAATCCCTTCCTTGAAAAAACATTCAAAACCGCGCGATGTTTGGTAATTAGTGGATTTGCCTACTTTATTTTCAGGGGTGTACACGTTGATGGGATTCTCTGGGGTCACCATGGCATGGGGGGAGCAGGACCAAACGATTTCGCGCAACGTCGATGATGTTACGACGGTGTCGTACAACTCCAAGATTTCAAGTAGTCCATGGTCCGATGCCTTGGGAATCTTCGGTTTAGTCTTGGTGAATGGGTGGCGACCAGATGTAGTTTCATACAATTCGAGCATCACTGCCTGCACCAAAGGTTTGCAATGGACCCGAGCTTTGTCCCTCCTCAATGAACTGCTGCTAGGTAGACTGTCCACAACAGTCATCACGTACGGTGCAAGCATCAGTGCATGTGAGAAGGTTTCTCAATGGCAGACAGCTTTGTCCTTATTTTTTGAGGCTGAATCCAAGAATCAGATGAACATCATCCTGTGCAATGCGACCATTAGTTCTTTGGAGAAGGGCCACCAATGGCAACGTGCTCTTCATCTCTTCTCTCAGCTATTTGTCAAGGCATTGCGGCCAACGGTGACCACTTGGAATGCTTTGATCAGTGCATTCGGAAAGAGCGAAGAATGGCAACGTGCGCTTGCCACATTGGAAAACATGCATCTCATGCGATTTCAGGAAGATGTCATAACATTGAATGCCGCAATTGACGCATGTGGCAAAGGGGGTCAATGGCAATTTGCCCTTATGATATTGGCCGAATTCGGAGCGAAACAGCTGGAGCCTAACATAGTTTCTTGCAGTTCTGCTGTAAGTGCTTGTGAGGAAGCGAAAGAATGGCAGTAGCTGGGCCGCACAGATGAACGCCATGACCACCGAATCGTGCCTATGACCTATTCCAGGAACCTAAAGGAAAATATCATGGGGGAGCCATGGAAAAAAGAAACTGAATGCAATTGAATGTTGGAGTCTCTTGGAGCCCACTATTCCAGCATTTCCCGTGCTTGCCGCTTTGTGCTGTTTTTTTTTGTGGGGTGCGAAAAGGTCCGACGATCCATTTTGTGTGCCGGGCTGCGAAGCGATGTTTTTTCTTGGGAGATTGATCAATTGCCGCATCTTTTTTTAGCCTTGGATGAGAGTTTATCAACCGCACCGCTCAGGCAAGCTTTGTTTCTGCTTTTTTATGCTTTGGATCATTCATGCGCGGATCGGATGACCTGCAATGCGGCAATCAGCGCATGTGGGCTGGGGTCAAAATGGCCAAGGTCATTGGCAGTGTTGGACTTCATGAAAGGTTCTCCGCTTGCCTTGCACCCGTCAGTTGCCGCTTGTCCCAGCCCAGCTTCCCCACAGATCCCGCAATCCGAAAAAGTGGCTTTTATATAATTCCACAGCAAACTTTATTGAGACTCCATCACAGCCCTACAATTTGTTGGGTGTGAGGGTGTGACTTCCATTTTAATCATTTCAAAATAATTGAGTCCTGGAGCCCCAAACAAACAAGAGTCAATTCCATGGTGGTTTCCCCTGCTCCAACCACCGGGTTTCACATTGTGCTGCTAAGGTGACCTACAACTCAGCCATCAGCGCTTGTGACACAGCAGAGCTCTGGTATAAGGCTTTGAACCTCTTTGAAACTTGTTGTGAGGGACTGAGTGCAGAGACTTGGTTTGAACCTGGCTGGGAAACCCCCCAGAGGGCGCACAAAATCCCTGAGATCTTAGAATTGGAATCCACCAGATTCTTCGACGTTAACCGCCTTCGGCGTGTTCCGGCCACCATGGAAAGAGTTATCCTGGCGCAGCAAGGACATGGTTTTTGTGTGAAACATGGTGTTTAGTGGATAACACAGCTTTTGTGTGAAAAAGGTCTTTGTGTAAAAGATTGTTTGGACGCAAAAACATTGTTTTTGTTCAAACCACGGTTGAAGTTTAAACCAAAGCATGTGTGTAAACCAGGGTTTTGGAAAAGGCCATATTGAATCATATTGAGAACGGCTTTGGAAAAGGCCATATTAGAAAGGTTATGCGTGTAAAAGGTGTTCGCCACAAAAGCCAGTGGATCAAGTATTGGATACAAGAAGCGACGGAGCAAACCGATGGCAAACACAACAAAAAACAACCATCGAAATGACAGCAAGATGTGCAAAACCAAGCCGGTGTTGAGCGAGGCGTGGGCAGAGTTGAGCCCACCAAAATGTAAGGAAAGATCAAGACGAAACGAAGAAGAGCTAGGTGGGGGGAGGGGGGGTGGGCGAGGCAAAAATCTGCGCCAAGGGGACAGTCTAGACAAGACAAAGACAAAACAGACAGTACAACTACGAACAAGCAAGATCCACAAGACACGCCGGTAGGCCGGCGGATTTTTACACAAGCAATGATGTACTGACTTTTGCTATTTCAGACCTGATGAATTTGAGAGGATATTGTAGTATCTCCAGGAAGATGTGATGTGAGGGATACACGTCCGCCTGAAACCGGAAGGACATCATTATGTTCAACGCTGTCATCAGTGCCTGTGCTAAATGTGTGCAGTGGGAACGAGTATTGTCGCTGTTGGTTGAGCTGCAGATGGGTGGTTTGTCACCGACAGTCATCACCTGCGGTGCAAGCATCAGTGCATGTGAGAAGGCCTCCCAGTGGCAGACCGCATTGCAATTGTTCAGCAGTGTCTCAAAAGACTTTGTGCCAGACCCTTGGATTTTTGCACAAATGGGTTTTGTCCTGCGCAGGATGGCTCCCCCCAGTTATAAGTTGGTTTACGCCCCCATCTGTATCATACATTATTGTTATTATAGTTATAGGCCAACGTAGCTAACTATGGGGCCCCATCCTGCAGTGTTTCTTTGTCATATCGAATTTTTCACGGTCAGGGCTGCACTGAGGATGGAGCGGCAGTAGCTGCATACAGTGGCGCGATCAGCGTTTGCAAGCGCCTTGCCCAGTGGCAGCAAGGCTTGCAGTTGCTCCACACCTTAGGTCCAGTTGGTCAGGCGCGACAGCCACCAAACTGCTCTTTCCGGGCTCAAAAGAAGGTTAACGACCCTGAACATAGTAGGCGAGTAGGGGTCCCATTATCAAGAAACCCTGCCCCTGTCAGGTGGCTTTATTTGCCAAACACTGTCGAGCAATGGTAAGCATCAATTTTCATGTTGGTAAAGCAATAGTATGCAATAGCAAACCATTTCCAATTTGACCATTTTCATGGGTGGGATTCCAACCATCACAACATGGCTGGGATTTACATATTATCAATATGGATTTACGCTTTTATTTACATGGCATATTGCTTTACTAACATTAGAAATCATGAAAAAAAAACTCAAATCCGCCTGTTTGGAGGCGGACTTGGTGGATGCGTCCAACCTGATGAGCTTCCCCTGGAGGTGGTCCTTGCTGCTGCATGGGCCCAGGTCCGTTGCCGTTGCCAGCGCTGCTGTGCTGTCGGGCTGCTGTCGAGCTGGCAGCCTTGGGGCTCGGCTCCAGGCTTTGCAAGTGCTGAAGCATGGCAGATATGGCAGCATGGGAAAATGGGGTATAACTGGATAACGGTATAACCTCATAGCCTCCCAAAAAACGATTTTAATAGGGAAAATGATGAGAAACAACTGGAATTAGAGGTATCCCATTTCGAGACGAACCCGGATGGGTTTCAAGGAAAATTACAGGAACAACCGCATGATCTGCATGGGAAAATCCATGATTTCCGGTTGAGATTTTCCGACAAACCAATCCATTGAGGGTATCGATCCCCAAGTTACTTTTGGTAATCCATCACAGAAATGGAAAATGGTCATGCTGAAAAGATACATCATCTACAAACGGGTCATTTTCCATGGCAACGTTCAATAACCGGAGGCGAAAATGATGATTAAGAATCAGTGGATTTCAATGGCGTAACCCGGTTTTGGTTCGCAAACGACCCTTTTGTTTCATTTTGATCCATAGCCATCTCTCAATGGAGTCTGTCGCAAAGTAGCAAAGACATGCCGAGACAACAGGTAAGAATCATTCAGTTGTTGCCGAAAGATGGCCTACGCGTCCTTGTGGCTCAAGGGCCACGAAAAAAAAGACAATCTTTGTTGCGTAGAACAGTAGAACCACCTTGTTCTCCCTCGTTCACCAGGACAGGAAGGTGATGTTCGGTAGTGTGCACCACTAAGGATCAACTTGCAAGTCGCTACTGAAAGATGTGTACAGGAACACTTGTGCAAGCAGACTGCTGTGCTGCGCCTGGAAAGTGACACGTTGGCATCTTGTGGGTAGCAAGAAAAAGAAGGAACAGAGCGCCTGTAAGTGCTTTGCAAGCATGTCACTGCAATGCCATTCGCGATTGTATCGGGGGCACTGGATTACCTCGAAAATACACGCACTTCAACTTCTATTGATTTCAATTTTCATCCATTAGCGGTTATTCGTGGACCCTCCCCAGAATCACATCATACTCGCGGTCGTGATGGTGATAACAGCAATGATCATCACCAGATTCCTACATCATAGTCACAGCACTACTTACCTAGTATTAATTGAGGGAATTAGATTAGTCGTGAACGATTTCGATGATTGATCAGTAGCCACCATCATTGATAGTTATTGGTAATTGATGGTGGTTATATAAACATGAACAATGATCATTATGAGCAACGTTAATATGTTAATGAAAATGGTCGCGAATGATAATTATATGCCAGTTAATGCAGGATGGATGATAATTCATCAGAACCGAACATGAAAAACAAACAAACACACACACACATAGCAACCATAATAGCAATGATAGTACTGATAACGATACCAGCAGTACACATGATATAATGATATCCAAAAACAATAATGATAACACATAAATCATTTTATAAGGCCACAGCAGTCACCCTCATCATCATCATCATCATCATCAGTACACTCTGGCTATTTAACATAGCTATGGAAACTGGTTCATTTATAGAGGATTTATCCATGGATTTACCAATGAAAAATGGGTGGATCTTTCCATAGCTATGTTAGTCATAACCAAACGGTAGCATGTCCTCATCAGGGTATGAGTCAAAATTAGGTACCCCAAGAATTGGATGGTTAATACTAAACTAGACATTTCCATCTGTGGTCCCCTAGGTCTTCCATTTTGACCCACATCAAAATAATCCTGTCATCTTCGTTGTATTCATCCCAATGTCGTGAATTTGAGTCGTCCTGCTGTCGACATTTTTGTCGATTTTTTTGGGCGACATCCCAACGATCCATCCCTGGATATTCCAAACCTTGTGATAATTCAAACCCGGCGAATCCCGTTCTCAACCAATCTGTCACCCCGAGACCGTGCGCAGAGAAGGGATGGCACTGGGTTTTGAACACTGCTCATTTTCTCTTTACGTTCAAAAGAGAGCATTGCGGTTTGCGAACCACAAACTACCCTTCGCCAATGGTTCTGACATTTTTGTTTTTTGCTTTTGGCACATTAACCCGTGCGCGTTCGCTTCAAGGACATTTTGCCCACTTGTTTCTTGATTTTCGTGGGGTCATCAGTTGAGAGACAATTTGCAGGTTGTACTTTGTTACATTGGTGCATTGGTGACACCCTACTGGCTTCCAAATCAAAAAATCTGATGCTTTGCAGTTGTTGATAGTTGTTGGATTGTGGGTGTTTTTTTTGGGTTATGAATTTCAAGACAATGGATCTCAATTTGTCAAAGCACCTTGTATCTATAGCAGCTACCATCATCTACCGGCACCGGATCGATCTGACTGAGAGTTGATGGCTATGGCAGGCACGGCCAATTGGAGTTTCGCAAAAAGACAAAGTGGCTGTGTTTGAAATTGATGTAGACTCGTAGACTCATTTGGACATTTTAATAGGGAAACTGTCTGTGGGAAAAGACTTGCGGGCGCCCTTTTTTCAACTAATCCCTGCTTTTCTGGTTTGTTAAGTTGTTTTTTTGACCGGAAAGGGATTTCAATATCCTCCATGTCTGCAGGTGATGGCTTTGGTCCAGTGTCCAGGAGTCGAGAACGTGTGGAACCATATGTTGGGCACCCGGGAGTCATGGAATCTGATTTTTGGCTCACCATGTTGCTGTGTCTTGGTGTTGAATATCTCCTCCATCTTAGGGTTAAATAGAAATTAGAACTGGAGTATATTCAAACCATTTGTTTCAATTTGTTAGTTCATTGACATCCCGCATTTTGATTCCTTTTCTCCAGTCAATGTGGTTGTTGCAGAATGTTTTCCACCACCAGCCGGTTCCACATATTTTTCCACAACTTTTCCCAGCGAAGCACCGAGTCCCTCAATGCCATGAAAGAGAGCGCCAAGAATGTGGCTAGCCGGATCATTCGTTCCGCCCGATGCCTCAGAATGTGGCCAGCGGAATGTGGCCGGCGTAACGAGCTTGGCCAGTCTTGGCACGGGGATACCAGCCAAAAAGATGGGAAAAGGTGGGCTGGTAGCCACCATTTTAGGCTGCGCGCATGCGCGCACATAGAAACCTTAGTGGTTTCTGTGGCGTCTTGATCTTGGATTCCTGATGCTCAGTTGAGTTGAATGTTCCGCAGGCATTTGGATGTTGTTTTTTCATGGTTTTCCCAAAGTTTTTTACATCCAGGATATCTCAGCTGAATTATGGAACGAAACATCGATAAGTTGAAGTCTTGGAACAGGCTTTTTGAGAGACCGCAAAACTAACAATCTAGATTTCAAAACTAACAATCTAGATTTCATGTTGAACAGTTTTTTGAGTGTTTGCACGAATGTAACATTGACAAAGTTTAAGATCGAATGCCTCGCACATGTCTCGGATGCGGCCAAGTTGGACATCGCTTGGAAAGCTGCAGTTCCAAGGCCGCCCTCGAGATTAGAAGATTGAGATCGAAGTTAGAGAAGACCAGACACAAAGCAGGTGCAAGAAACAATCCCGGTCGGAAGATCCCAAAACGTAGCATGACGTATGTGCGCAAGAGAAAATTCCACAGCGTAGCAGGACGTATGTGCGCAAGTGCAAGAGAAAATTCCACAGCGTAGCAGGACGTATGTTCAAGTTGCCATGAACGTTATTACCCCCACCCCACCCCACCCCAACCCCACCCCAAATGACAGAGATGCATATTGTAGCCCTATGCACACCATACAATCCATGTGCGTTCAAGTTGGCATGAACGTTATTACCCCCACCCCACCCCACCCCAACCCCACCCCAAATGACAGAGATGCATATTGTAGCCCTATGCACACCATACAATCCATGTGCGTTCAAGTTGGCATGAACGTTATTACCCCCACCCCACCCCACCCCAAATGAAAAATATGCATATTGTAGCCCTATGCGCACCATACAATCCATGTGTGTTCAAGTTGACATGAACGTTACCCCCACCCCACCCCACCCCAAATGAAAATAAGCTTCGGTGGTATCCCCAACAGCCGCAACGTTTTCTTGCTGAAGCGTGTCGCAAAGCCAAGTGCTGGAAACACCTCAGGTGGGTTTCCGTGAATAATCCCGTTGAACCTAAGCTGGCTCTGCACCAAAGCCTCCCAGACCTTCTCTGGAACCTTCTCCGGAACCCTGTTGAACTTGACCTGGCTCTGCACCAAAGCATCCCGGAACCTTCTCACCTTTTCTGCAACCTTCTCCGGAACCCTGTTGGACCTGACCTGGCTCTGCACCAAACCCTCCCCGACCTTCTCCGGAACCTTCGGAACCTTATCCGGAATCTCGTTGAACCTGACCCCCTGACAATAGCTCGCCCACCTACGCCAACCTGAAAGGTGATTCCGCAGAGTTCCTGGTGCACGGTCTCCAAGCAAGAAAGCAATGTCTTCAACTTCGACTCCCTCCCAAGCCGATAACACTAGACTGTGTTTGGCCACTGCGCGTGCCAGCCCTACCAGCGTGCGGGCTAGGTCAAGCTGCTCATCTCGCCACTCACCGAAGGTGAGCTCTGCCTTCAGCTTCTCCCACACCGGCTTGGCCTGCTCAGGATGTCCAATCATGCGGGTGTCATCGCAATCACCTTCCCCTCGTGGAAAAAGGAAAAGATTCCTGGGATCAGTGCCCACTCCCGGGCACCCATGGACTTGACTGTCCGCTGCAGCTTCTTGAACCACAGCCGAGGGCTCTCAGCCAAGCCAAAACCACCTTTGATAAATTGCACCAAGTCAAGGCATGCGCCAGCTGGACCAGGGCTCCACTGACCACCATCCCATCCACAGTACCAATTGCTACCCCTGATTCCACGTGAGCTGTCCTGCGACGTTCCCGAAACTTCTGATCTCATCTCCTGCTCGGGATCCGAAATATTGGATCAGTTTTCGTGTCGCCCACTGCAAGGACTTGTCTCGGCCCATCCAAGGATCATTCAGCGAAGGATCGGCCTCCGTCACCTCCTCTCGCCCCGTTTCCAACCTCCAGCGGCTAGCATGTATGCCTCTCTGATCTCTGCTGACCCGAGACCAGGGTCACCTTCGCTAGAAGTCCCTCCCAACGCCGAGGCATCTCCTGACGCTGAGGTGAGGCACTCCCACTCGCCGACCGTCTTGATGACAAAGAGGGCAAAGAAGGAGGTGGTGTCGGAGCAATCGTCACCCTTCTCCGCAATCTCCCGAAAGTAGGCCGAGGCAAGTCCACAGGCATCGGGCTTTCCTCTGCGTGATTCGACATGGTCCCAAACGGATGCTTGGCCTTTGTGGCTCAAGCTAAAAATCCCACTAAAAAGTGCTCGACGGCTTGTTTATCTTGTTTTGCACCATCCGCTAGGGCCATGACAGGCTACATCCGACAACAAATGCAACGGAATTACGCTGGTCTGCAGTTTTTGCCTTTTCGATTCAGAGTTGTTTTGCAAAGTTTCAAAAGTGCTGTCCAAAGATCTCCGCCAGTTTCAAGTGAGCCTTACTATTTCTTGTTCCATACCCTTCCTCACCCCAGACATATCAAAAACTTACACATTGTTCCCAAGGCGTTTTTTCAGCAACGCCGACGCCTTCAATTCGTTGGCGTAGAGTTTTCTCACTTAGGATCTAAGTGGGAGCTACCCAGGCAGTCGCCCTCGCTTTTCGAGGTAGAGTCTTGGATCTCCGGGTCGAACGATGACATGGAGATGTCTCTCGGATTTCCGGATGCCGAATGATTCTTGGGCCGTTTTGATCAATGGTTGCCTCAAAAATGGAGACGCTTCCATTTTTCCGGCAGATGGGGGAGCATGATTTTACTATTGGATTTCTTGCTATTGGGGCACCCAAAATACGGAAAAATCAGGAGATTTGTGGCGCG